ATTGAACCAATCCTGTTTCCTAGTTCTGCATCTCTGTTTTGGTATAAATTTTTTTGTGCCTTTATCATATATTTCACAAAACTTGCCATACATCTCATTCACTTCCTTGCCTAGCATCAAGTCTGTCCAATTATACTCACTAAAAAAATTTCTAAGGTCACCATAATGTCCTCTCCTGAAGTCTGGTTTTTCAACTGCTTCAACCTCCTTATTTTCTTCCAGCTTATAACGCATTGCATACTTTATTCCCAAAAAGACATGGTCACTTTTACCCAAGGGAGGAAGGTACTGAATGTCAAATATCTCTTCCTCCTTCCTGGTAAATATCAAATCTAGCATGGAGGGAACGTCCCCTTCCCTCATCCTCGTAGCTTGTTTAACATGTTGATACAAGAATGTTTCCAGGATGAGGTCTACAAATTTACAGGTCCAAAAATCTTCTGTTTTAGCTTCATATGCTTCCCAGTCTATGGATTTCAAGTTGAAGTCACCGACTATCAACAGTCGTGATCTATCGTTATCCGCTCTCGCTATAATCTCTCTCATTATTGTTATAAGACCTTCACGTTTACTATCTAGCTCCTCCTTTGACCATGTGCTGCTTGGCGGTGGACTATATGCATTTATCATCATTAGTTTATCATCCTCATAGCAGATCTCTAGTGCTATTATGTCAACTTCTTGTGGATTGGCAGTCATTATTTCCTTCACCTTTAGGTGTTCTTTTACCAGCACAGCAACGCCACCGCCTTTCCTAATTTTTCTGTCCCGTCTCCAAATTGAGTAGCCCCTTGGGAATATGACCTCATTTAAAATTACATCTTCAAGTTTTGTCTCCGTGAGTGCAACAATGTCTGGTGTCTGCAGCTGTATTACATCACTTAACTCCAGTATCTTCGATCTCACTCCATCTATGTTGGTGTATGCAATCTTCAGGAACTTGTTCCCCCTCTCCTTATTCTTCACTCCCCCTCTCTCTATTGATTTTGTTGGTTTGCCTTTATGTACCACTTTACTGGTTTGCCTACCCCTATCACTTTGTAGAAAAAAGAATTTATTTCTTCTTCATTCCTGCTCTCATTTAAATGTTTTGCCTCGGCGAGGTTCAGTTTCAGCTTCTCTCTATCTTCTTTTGAAAGATCTCGTCTTAATGACCACCCTTTCCCATCCTCATCCCTTTGCAATTTTCTAGCATTCCTTAGTACTTCTTCCATCTGTTTGGCACCGTTTAGGGTGATCCTCAAAGGTCGATCTTTCCCTTTTACGTACCTGCCTATTCTCCTGTAGTCGCACACATTCTCTCTGTTTGTAAGACCTTCCACGAGGCCAACAATTTTATCTACTACTTTAGCTTCTTCTACAGCTCTTTCTGACCTAGATGTTATCGCCTTTTCTTTGCAGCCAAAAATGATCAGGGACTTACTCCGATCAACTGTGTTTTGCACCAACTTCGGGTTAGATGCCAATTCTTTCCTCACTTCTAGCCTAATGTTTGTTTTATCTTGGTTGCTGCAGTGTTTGACTTCCTTTACTGCTTCTTCTATTTTTTCCTTCTCCTTGGCCACTTGTGCATAAGTGAGTTGCATATCTTTCTTGCACTGTTCTATTCCCTGTGTAACTTCCTCCATCTGTGCTGACAAAAGCTGTTTCTCCTGTTGAATTTCCTTGCCTAACCTATTGTAGTCATTTATGTTTAAATTTACTTTAACTTCTTCCAAAGCTATTTTTAAGAGTTTATTTTCTTCTTCCATGGCTTTGCAATTTGTTTCCAATTGATTCTTATCCTTGCGCAAGTCTTTCACTAAACCCTCAAGACATAAAACTTTGCTATTCAAATGGTCATTACTTTCTTTCAATTTACTAATTATTTCTACATGAGAGTTCACTATAGTATCTAAATTTACCAACTTGTTATGTAGACTACTAATATCAATGCTTTCTTCATTGAATCCCTCAAAATCAAGCTCTGTTTTGTTTTTCCCCTTGCCAGTGGCCATCTTGAATGTTCTTCTCTGCACTGTAAACACTAGGGCAACTTTTTCTCATCCGATTTTTCACTTCCCTTAGCACTTTCCTGTTATCTCACCTATTTTTCAAGAGCACTATACCTTTATGTTCTCTGGGACACCACTCACTACCATCAACCTGTACTACAATACTTAGGATTGTTGAAATATGCTGGAGCTCCTCTGCTGCAAGTGTTGACCCTAGGGGTGTCACCTTTTGAATGTTGAATGTGTGACCTGGTTCTGCCTTCTGGGATTCCGGGGTCTTCCTGGCTTGCAGGCTGATCTTTTTGGGTCTTGGTACGTGTTGTGGTCGTGCTGGGGCCTTGGGTTTTGTTGTTGAGGTGGGCCTCTTGATGCGGTTTTTGTGCTCTCTTGGTGCCTTCTTTGCCTGGCCGGCATGGTGCTCTGGGTCCACCGGTTGGCGGCTTGTCTTTTTCTTTTCTTTCTTTATTTTATTTTTATTTTTATTATGTGTATATATGTATATATGTGCAAGTGTGTGTGTGTGTGTGTGTGTATTTATATATACAGTACTTATATGTAACATGTATATACAGTTTAATAACAGCAAAAGGAGTGTGGGGAAGAAGCCATTTTGGTGATGGGTGTGGCAACATCTGCATGATTTGTTATGTTGATAGGGGTGGCCACTATGCTCTTTGGGCATTATACCAGCTTAGTTGAACAGTTATGGTGAACAAAACATGTAGATACTTATATATAACGTCTGTATATAGGGTAATAACACCACAAACAGTATTGCTGGGGGTGAAATTTTAGTGCGTCTGACCTTGAATGTGTGAGGGAAGCAGCCGCCACCTGACTGTGTGTAGCGACGTCTCTTAGTGCCTGAACTATGTCAACTTAGTTGTACAGTTGTGGTGAATAAAACATGCAGATACTTACATATAGCGTCTGTATATAGTGAATAAAAGCAAAAACAGTATTGTGGGAGGAGAATGTGGGTGAGTCAGGTGAGTTGAGGGAGGGAGGAAGCAGCAGCCAGTGGTGGGCTGCCAGTGGCTGCCACTGCCACTCAGCATGCCAACTTGGTGGTTCGTTATGGTGAACACGAATGTAGATACTTATATATAACGTCTGTATATAGTGAATAATAGCAAAAACAGTATGGTGGGAGTAGAATGTGGGCGAGTGAGGTGTTGAGAGAGTGAGTGGCAGCGAGTGGCTGGCTGGTGTGTAGCGGTCACTCCTCGTTGCTTTTTGACTCATAATAGCAACTTAGTGGTTAGTTATGGTGAACAAAACATGCAGATACTTATATATAACCTGTGTATATAGTGTAATAACCGACGAAGTATTTGTTCACTGCTTGATGAACATAATTGAATCAACAATATGCACACCATATTTTTCAGTACAGCGATGATTCACTCATTTTATTATATAAATATATCACACTACACACTATTGAATAATAATACAGCAAAAAAAAATCAAAAAATCAGTCAGAGACATTGAAATAATTAGGTAATTATCTCTTTGTGGCAACTCATGCCTGACAGCTGGTGAGCAATAGACCGTCTGGGACGCATGCTGAGTCAGCGCTTGTTTTTTGCCAGAATTTCCCGCCCTATAGCGGGCATTATATGCCACTTACGATTTTTTTATTATTTTTCCCATGATCAGAGAACACAAATTAACAGGTTTAGAAGAAAAAATAATTTTGTTTTTGTTTTTTAGTATGCGCCTGTGGGTGACAAATGCTAAATAGCACAGAGCCACACAAGGGTTAAACATAATACAGCAGTACAAAACACAATCAAATCTGCCCATAGGAGGAAAGCAGCATGTAAAGGCTTTGGGAATAATGATGTCTGACAACTTAACATTTAGGGAGCATAACCAAACAAGTATGGTGTCTGCCTGAAAAATGATCGGATGGATTACGAGAACTTTTAAATTCAGGGATCCCATCACAATGGTTGTACTATACAAATCACTTGTACTGTCCTGTCTTGAATACTCCTCATTACTCACTTCCCCTTCAAAGCAGGAGAGATAACTGAAATAAAGGGAGTACAGAGAACATATACGGCATACGTAGAAGCAATAAAGCATCTAAATTATTAGCATCGTCTCAAAGCTCTCCAAATGTACTCACTAGAAAGGAGACTGGAGAGATATCAAATAATATACACGTGGAAGATACTGGAGGGCCAGGGTTCCAAATCTACATAACAGCCTGTTGGACCAAGCTGTCACAAGTCAAGCCTGGCTTCGGGCCGGGCTTGGGGAGTAAAAGAACTCCCAGAACCCCATCAACCAGACAAATGTGGCTCCCCACAGAAAACCAGCGTTGAGTGTAATGAAATGCCATTTTCTGGGTGAGCCCTGGAGCCTCCCTGACCCCCTCCCTCCCTCCGATAGGCAGTTTTCATCATTCTCCGAACTGAGGATCGTGCGGCCAGCTCGCATGAGTGGGGTCCCCCTCCCTCCCCCTGTCGGATGTGGGTGAGGAGCTAACAAGTGGGTGCACTAGTTGGTTGATGTGTTGCTTGTTTCATTGTTTTCTATTGGGAGGAGTTCTTTGGCTCTGTTCAGATGTAGGTTGCAATTTTAACCAGTTAGAGGTTTGTAATGGTTCGCCTACCTTTCTGGTGGTATACCCAGTTGATGATAGATCTGACAAACTAAATATAGAGCGCTGATATGGCCATTGCTTCCCTCGTCTCTCTGAGGGGGCCAGGTTCTGGCTCGTAGTCCCCGGAAGGCACTCGAACTCCAAGAACTGATGGCACCAAGGTAATATGGCATATGTCAGTTTGATAGCTTCAGGGAGCCGACGGGGCTCACCCAGGAAATGGCATTTCATTACATTCAACACTTTTTTTTTTGTCTGTGTTTCAGTATTTATTTATTTTGCAAGTTTTTGCTCATTAGATTTTTTATTCATCCATATTATGTTAAACTTTTCCCATAATTGTAATTCCTTCAAAGTTTCTGTAGAAGACTTGAAACTTTACCTTACAGGTAATTGAGACCATTGAGAAGAACCCTGAAGACCGTCGCATCATCATGTGTGCCTGGAACCCCACAGATGTACCCAAGATGGCTCTACCGCCTTGTCACTGCCTCTGTCAGTTCTACGTGGCCAATGGAGAACTGTCGTGCCAGCTATACCAGCGTAGTGCAGATATGGGCCTCGGAGTGCCTTTCAATATTGCTAGCTATGCACTCTTGACTTGCATGATTGCTCATGTTACAGATTTGAAGGTGAGAGATCTTGCTTTTTTAATTTTCTGGGCATTAGTGTTTTCTTCATTTGTCTGTGCAAAAATAATCTTGAAGCACCATTTGTACTCTTATTGTTACTAATATATCATTTGCTAAAGAATTCTGCACAGTCTTGTATTAAATATTAATACTGTATGTGAGTGTACATGATAAACTTGTGCATTATAATATAACCTCTGCTGTGTTACCTCTTCAATTTTTTGTACAATGAACAAATCCATAAGGACCGTGATAAGGGTTTGAACCTGCGTCCGGGATGATTCCAGACATGCCTTAGTCGACTGTGCCATGACATGGTTAAAAGGATTGCAACCTGGAGTGCTGTTGCCCTCACAAGGCCAGTAGCTTCTCCGAAGCACAGACCGGGGTTTGACACAATGGTGACACAAACACCACGCTTCCTCAGTGGTGTTGCACCATGCTGCAATAATTAGATTCCATAATTTCTACTCCAAATTAGTATTCACACACATAAATGCAATATCTAAATATTTGGAGGGTGAAAACAGCACTTACATGGGGGTTATTTTATCGCCTGCAGCGTTACGACATGGCACCTATATTAGGTATTATCTGAGCTCAAATTAACAACCAAACAAGGTAAAAATGCTGAACTGGTGTCCGTGATTCTGGTAAGCTGCGTCCTCAATCTGACATTCGAGGATGTAAGGATGCCTTCTAGATTGTAAGATTTGTAGGGACCACTTCGGAACACCTTACTGCTAGTTGATCTAATATGGTGAGAGTCCTCTTCCTTCCCGAAAGTCGCGCATGCGCATAGCTCCCAGTAGGGGCCCGAGCATGAATTATATTTATTCATTAAAGCTAAACAGGGAAGGAAGTGTTTATGAATACTCTTTATAACTCGATTAAATCCTTTATGTGGTGATGTTTGATTCTCACAGTGCAGGTCAGTTAGCACTTTCGCCTGGGCATGACGCAGCATTGTGTCATCCGTTTACTGTCGGTAATGACGGGCATGTCGCAGCATTGCGTCATCCACTTTAAATAATCGCCAAAAATCAGGTTTTTATCCGATTTTGTTGGGACTAGTTTTAAAATGCGCGCCGATGTCTTCCCATTTTCTTTGTTGCGCCTCGTGGCCTGCAGGTGGCTCGGCACACGCCGTTGGCCCATTGTTTTCGCTCCACTGTTGTGACCGGTGTTGCCTCCCCTCGCATCTCAAACGTGTGAACATTTCGGCTATTTTCTGTGGCTATATTTCTTACTCCGGCTTTAGAAACTATCTACACTTACTCCACGATGGATAGTGATCATGAACAAGGCCCTTCCAGGAAGAAAATTGCGAAAGAAAGGCGTGAAAAGGGCGGGAATTGGGAGTGCAGCTGGAAAGCGTCTGGGCGCTCACTCGCGGCTAATGTGTGGCCCGTCTTCAACTCGTTGGCGGGTGGAGCGTGACCAGGTTTTTTATTTTATATGCTAATGTTCCTCTAGAGAACTCTATTGCGAACCCATTGAGACCAAAATGAAAGACCTAGGACGAAAATTGAGGTGACCAGAGTGAAAAGAGTGAACACATTTTATCGCTTTTGCGCGCTCCTGGGTAACTCGTTCGCACTTTCTCTGTTTGCTGCAGGTAATTAGCCGGGCTTTTGGAGTTTATATGCATTTAGTGCTGTAGAGAATTCTATTGCGAACACAATGATACCAAATTTAATCTCGGATGAAAATTAAGGTGACAAAGTTGAAGAGTATACACTTTTCAGAATTTACGCGCACTCCCGTGAAACCCTGGGACCCAAATCGCACTGTTGAGGGGTGGCGCGCGGGGTACGCCAAAGTGTTAATGCAGACTGTACAAATTAAACGAGAATCCTTTGGAGGTGGAAAAGATTTTAAATTATATTATTTACTGGAACAGCGATCAAGCTGGTAAAGGAATTCCAGTAAACTGTTGTATACTAAAAGTAAACATATTACTAAATAATTATCCTTGATAAAGGAAAGTAAATGGTTGGACTTCTGTTAGATCTACAGATATGTGGAAATTTATTCTCCGTGGGTGGCTGACTCAACACTGCACAATTCTAGGAGAAATTACATGATTTCATCCTAATCGCCCACATCCTAATGCAATGAATTCTATGATACTAAACTATGAATTAGTAATGTTAGTTAATTATTACACTTAGTACAGGAAATGCATCCCATTGTACTAAGGATTAGTAAATGAGTATTAAATAATAATGAAGCCTAATACAGGAAATACATCCTATTGTATTTAGGATGAGAATAATTGTTGGAAATTTCCAACACCCCAGAGGGTGTCCACTGTTCCCCTGAGGGTGTCCACCTGGCTCCCCAGAGCGTGCCCACCTGGCTCCCCAGAGGGTGTCCACCTGGCTCCCCAGAGCGTGCCCACCTGGCCCCCCAGAGGGTGTCCACCTGGCTCCCCAGAGCGTGCCCACCTGGCCCCCCAGAGCGTGCCCACCTGGCCCTCCAGAGGGTGTCCACCTGGCTCCCCAGAGCGTGCCCACCTGGCCCCCCAGAGCGTGCCCACCTGGCCCCCCAGAGCGTGCCCACCTGGCTCCCCAGAGGGTGTCCACCTGGCTCCCCAGAGCGTGCCCACCTGGCTCCCCAGAGGGTGCCCACCTGGCTCCCCAGAGCGTGCCCACCTGGCTCCCCAGAGGGTGCCCACCTGGCTCCCCAGAGCGTGCCCACCTGGCTCCCCAGAGCGTGCCCACCTGGCTCCCCAGAGGGTGTCCACCTGGCCCCCCAGAGCGTGCCCACCTGGCCCCTCAGAGGGTGTCCACCTGGCTCCCCAGAGCGTGCCCACCTGGCTCCCCAGAGCGTGCCCACCTGGCTCCCCAGAGCATGCCCACCTTTCTCCCCAGAGGGTGTCCACCTGGCTCCCCAGAGCGTGCCCACCTGGCCCCCCAGAGCGTGCCCACCTGGCCCCCCAGAGCGTGCCCACCTGGCCCCCCAGAGGGTGTCCACCTGGCTCCCCAGAGCGTGCCCACCTGGCTCCCCAGAGCGTGCCCACCTGGCTCCCCAGAGGGTGTCCACCTGGCTCCCCAGAGGGTGCCCACCTGGCCCCCCAGAGCGTGCCCACCTGGCCCCCCAGAGGGTGCCCACCTGGCTCCCCCAGAGCGTGCCCACCTGGCCCCCCAGAGGGTGCCCACCTGGCTCCCCCAGAGCATGCCCACCTGGCCCCCCAGAGGGTGCCCACCTGGCTCCCCCAGAGCGTGCCCACCTGGCTCCCCAGGGCGTGCCCACCTGGCTCCCCCAGAGCGTGCCCACCTGGCCCCCCAGAGCGTGCCCACCTGGCCCCCCAGAGCTTGCCCACCTGGCCCCCCAGAGGGTCCCCACCTGGCTCCCCCAGAGCGTGCCCACCTGGCTCCCCAGAGCGTGCCCACCTGGCTCCCCCAGAGCGTGTCCACCTGGCTCCCCAGAGCGTGCCCACCTGGCCCCCCAGAGCGTGCCCACCTGGCTCCCCAGAGCGTGCCCACCTGGCCCCCCAGAGCGTGTCCACCTGGCCCCCCAGAGCGTGCCCACCTGGCCCCCCAGAGCGTGCCCACCTGGCCCCCCAGAGCGTGTCCACCTGGCTCCCCAGAGCGTGCCCACCTGGCCCCCCAGAGCGTGCCCACCAGGCCCCCCAGAGGGTGTCCACCTGGCCCCCCAGAGCGTGCCCACCTGGGCCCCCAGAGGGTGTCCACCTGGCCCCCCAGAGCGTGCCCACCTGGCCCCCCAGAGCGTGCCCACCTGGCCCCCCAGAGGGTGTCCACCTGGCCCCCCAGAGCGTGCCCACCTGGCCCCCCAGAGGGTGTCCACCTGCCTCCCCAGAGCGTGCCCACCTGGCTCCCCAGAGGGTGCCCACCTGGCTCCCCAGAGCATGCCCACCTGGCTCCCCAGAGGGTGCCCACCTGGCTCCCCAGAGGGTGCCCACCTGGCTTCCCAGAGGGTGCCCACCTGGCTCCCCAGAGGGTGCCCACCTGGCTCCCCAGAGGGTGCCCACCTGGCTCCCCAGAGGGTGCCCACCTGGCTCCCCAGAGGGTGCCCACCTGGCTCCCCAGAGGGTGCCCACCTGGCTCCCCAGAGGGTGCCCACCTGGCTCCCCAGAGGGTGCCCACCTGGCTCCCCAGAGGGTGCCCACCTGGCTCCCCAGAGGGTGCCCACCTGGCTCCCCAGAGGGTGCCCACCTGGCTCCCCAGAGGGTGCCCACCTGGCTCCCCAGAGGGTGCCCACTTGGCTCTCCAGAGGGTGCCCACCCGACTCCCCAGAGGGTGCCCACCTGGCTCCCCAGAGGGTGCCCACCTGGCTCCCCAGAGGGTACCCACCTGGCTCCCCAGAGGGTGCCCACCTGGCTCCCCAGAGGGTGCCCACCTGGCTCCCCAGAGGGTGTCCACCTGGCCCCCCAGAGCGTGCCCACCTGGCCCCCCAGAGCATGCCCACCTGGTCCCCCAGAGCGTGCCCACCTGGCCCCCCAGAGGGTGCCCACCTGGCCCCCCAGAGCGTGCCCACCTGGCTCCCCAGAGGGTGCCCACCTGGCTCCCCAGAGGGTCCCCACCTGGCTCCCCCAGAGCGTGCCCACCTGGCCCCCCAGAGGGTGCCCACCTGGCTCCCCCAGAGCGTGCCCACCTGGCCCCCCAGAGGGTGCCTACCTGGCTCCCCCAGAGCGTGCCCACCTGGCTCCCCAGAGGGTGTCCACCTGGCTTCCCAGAGTGTGCCCACCTGGCTCCCCCAGAGCGTGCCCACCTGGCCCCCCAGAGCATGCCCACCTGGCCCCCCAGAGCGTGCCCACCTGGCCTCCCAGAGCTTGCCCACCTGGCCCCCCAGAGGGTGCCCACCTGGCTCCCCCAGAGCGTGCCCACCTGGCTCCCCAGAGCGTGCCCACCTGGCTCCCCCAGAGCGTGCCCACCTGGCTCCCCCAGAGCGTGTCCACCTGGCTCCCCAGAGCGTGCCCACCTGGCCCCCCAGAGCGTGCCCACCTGGCTCCCCAGAGCGTGCCCACCTGGCTC